TCTATCTGCCTGGTCATGCCGCTCCTTCTGCTGCTATTGTAATCTGCCAGTTGCTGTCCGAGACCGTTCCAGTGGTCTTCCCTAGCTGTTTCTTTGTTTACTGTGTTCCTGATGTTGTATCACCTGTGCACATCACTACCCTCTTGTATCAGTCTGTTTTGTCAATAAATCCTCATCACTCAATCTGCTAATGGATTCTCCTTCCAGATCCCTGACTATTTAATTTAATTTAATTTGGGTAACACTTTATTTTAAGGTGTCCTTGTTACACATGTTACATGTGCTTACTATTGTAATAACAATTAATTATGCATAATTACGTGCAAGTAACCCTAAGCCAAACCCTCATCATAACCCTAACCATATAGTAGTTAATTAATATTACTCAGTACATAAATATATAATTACACTGTAACAAGGACACCTTAAAATAAAGTGTAACCTTAATTTTTTGTTATATAAATTAAAAATGTATTATATAATAAGCATATACTTCAGATTTCCTTTTTCTTTCCTTGTGATTAGGTGCAATATTTGCCCTGGAATTGATTTTTGGAAGGTTTTTTTTTTATTTGTTTATTTATTTATCCTAAATAACATGAAGCATGTGGCATTCTCTGGCATTTGACAGAGAGTGATCTTAATAGTCTTTGTTAAATTTTATTACATTTACAGCAACACAGACCTGCGTCGTTTTACCCATAAATACTGGCTCTGTTGAGATTTCATGTCTGCAAGGTTTTAGTGTTTTTTGTTGTTGTTAAACAAAGATACTACAAGGCACATTTGGATGCATTTTATTATGTGATTTCAGTAGAACAGCGAGCGAGGTGAAGAACGACGTATACATATCGCCTCTATCAGGTCCCACCACTGCCTAAAGGCAAGTGCAATGCTTGATGTAATAAACAATACAGATGATGTAGTAAACAGTTTAGTACACTTGTTAAATGTAGGAAGAATCAAACAAAAACGGGACTGGAGCATAAATGGATGGTTCAAATTAGAGTTTCTTTAAAGACTTAATGGCAATGACAGTGCAGACATTTGAACTTCAGTTTACACTTCCACAAACCAAGACAAGTTTCTCTACTTCAGAGTATTTCAATGGCATTTTCACGGACTGATTTGTTCCAAAACTAAAATGCAGTTTTCCTCTAAGAAATGCTCATCAGTTCCTTCTTGTTCCAACAACATGCATTAAATAAATAAAGTTTCAATGTCTTCCTGAATTTGATAAAAAACAACAACAAAAAACACTAAAACCTTGCAGACATGAAATCTCAACAGAGCCAGTATTTATGGGTAAAACGACGCAGGTCTGTGTTGCTGTAAATGTAATAAAATTTAACAAAGACTATTAAGATCACTCTCTGTCAAATGCCAGAGAATGCCACATGCTTCATGTTATTTAGGATAAATAAATAAACAAATAAAAAAAAAACCTTCCAAAAATCAATTCCAGGGCAAATATTGCACCTAATCACAAGGAAAGAAAAAGGAAATCTGAAGTATATGCTTATTATATAATACATTTTTAATTTATATAACAAAAAATTAAGGTTACACTTTATTTTAAGGTGTCCTTGTTACACATGTTACATGTGCTTACTATTGTAATAACAATTAATTATGCATAATTACGTGCAAGTAACCCTAAGCCAAACCCTCATCATAACCCTAACCATATAGTAGTTAATTAATATTACTCAGTACATAAATATATAATTACACTGTAACAAGGACACCTTAAAATAAAGTGTAACCTTAATTTTTTGTTATATAAATTAAAAATGTATTATATAATAAGCATATACTTCAGATTTCCTTTTTCTTTCCTTGTGATTAGGTGCAATATTTGCCCTGGAATTGATTTTTGGAAGGTTTTTTTTTTATTTGTTTATTTATTTATCCTAAATAACATGAAGCATGTGGCATTCTCTGGCATTTGACAGAGAGTGATCTTAATAGTCTTTGTTAAATTTTATTACATTTACAGCAACACAGACCTGCGTCGTTTTACCCATAAATACTGGCTCTGTTGAGATTTCATGTCTGCAAGGTTTTAGTGTTTTTTGTTGTTGTTTTTTTATCAAATTCAGGAAGACATTGAAACTTTATTTATTTAATGCATGTTGTTGGAACAAGAAGGAACTGATGAGCATTTCTTAGAGGAAAACTGCATTTTAGTTTTGGAACAAATCAGTCCGTGAAAATGCCATTGAAATACTCTGAAGTAGAGAAACTTGTCTTGGTTTGTGGAAGTGTAAACTGAAGTTCAAATGTCTGCACTGTCATTGCCATTAAGTCTTTAAAGAAACTCTAATTTGAACCATCCATTTATGCTCCAGTCCCGTTTTTGTTTGATTCTTCCTACATTTAACAAGTGTACTAAACTGTTTACTACATCATCTGTACTGTTTATTACATCAAGCATTGCACTTGCCTTTAGGCAGTGGTGGGACCTGATAGAGGCGATATGTATACGTCGTTCTTCACCTCGCTCGCTGTTCTACTGAAATCACATAATAAAATGCATCCAAATGTGCCTTGTAGTATCTTTGTTTATTGTACATGGACAAGTACTGTCTGTCTCTTTATCACTCTTTCTCCACGTACCTCAATGAATTCAAGCATGGTACTGTGATAGGATGCCAATTCGTGAAATGTCATCCCTGCTACATATTTCATGGTCAATGGTATTATTGGAAAGTGGAAGCGTTTATGAACAGCGGAAACTCAGCAGCGTACCGAGTGCTGAGGCACATGGTGCATAAAAGTCACCAACGCTCTGCTGATTCCATAGCTGAAGAGCTCCAGACTTCCACTGGCATTAATATCAGCACAAAAACTGTGTGGCGGGAGCTTCATGGAATGGGTTTCCATGGCCAAGAAGCTGCATGGAAGCCTCACATAACCAAGTACAATGCCAAGTGCTGTATGGAGTGGTGTAGAGCACACCGCCACTGGACCCTGGAGCAGTGGAAACCTGTTCTGTGCAGTGAGGAATCACGCTTCTCTGTTCAGCAGTCTGATGCACGAGTATGGGTTTGGTAAGTTGGTGGGTTTGGTGGAGAACATTGCGTGCCTGACTAGATTGTGCTGACTGTAAAGTTTGGTGGAGGACGGTGTTGTATGGTTTGTTTATCAGGGGTTGTCTGGGCCCCTTAGTTCCAGTGAAGGGAAAACTTAAAGCTTCAGCATACCAAGACAATTTGGAAGATGCTATGCTTCCAGTTTTGTGGGAACAGTTTAGGGAAGGCCCTTTTCTATTCCAGCATGACTGTGGCCCAGTGTATAAAGCAAGGTCCATAAAAACATGGCAGGATGAGTTTGGTGTGGGATAACTTGAGTGGCTCACACAGAGCCCTCACCTCAACCCCATCAAACACCTTTGGGATGAACTGGAACAGAGATTGAAAGCCAGGACATCTTGTCCAGCATCAGTGCCAAATGCTCTACTGGATGAATGGGCAAAAATTCCCACAGAAACTCTCCAAAGTCTTGCAGAAAGCCTTCCCAGAAGAGTAGATGTTATAGCTGCAAAGGGGGGACCAAGAGTATAAATGGGTATTTATGGAAATATATAACTGCCTTTATATTTTAGGAATCAAAAATTATGTAAACCCCTGTCAATGAATACACAATGGTCTGCTACAGCGCTGGGTATGGTTTCCCACAATACAGTGTTACAAACACTTTTATTAGTGAGCACCAAAAAGGAAATAAAAAAGCCATTTATCCCCACTAATTACATAGACAATGCTGGAAACATAAAAAGTTCATAAAAATATGTGCAAGGCCTTCTGTTGTTTTAGAAAGAAGCAGAACAAACATGGTAAAACAAATTAACTTCATCACATTATCATCACAAATGCCAAAAATAACAATTACAGCCCCCCTTTTGTGAAGCCATCAGCAAGCATCGGTCCATAGCGCACACTCTGCGGGAGAGAGAGAGAGATGCAGAGAGTGCTTCAAACTACTTTAGGTTTTATTTAGCTGCAGCTGGCTTCTCCTCATTTCACTAAAAGGATTGAGCAAATACAGAAAGGGCCTCCAAATGAAATTTTCAGAATGTATTTCCTGACTTTGACCGTTGCTCTGGACTGAGGTGATAGCTGTGGAGCTTCTGAGAAAAGATATTTTAAACAAAATAACATTTAAAAAATATTTGTATAAAGCGATAATAAATAAGTTTATAAATAAGTTGGTGCAATGCAGCAAGCTAAAACTGTTATTTTGTACTGATATTCAACCCCAAAACAATGTAACTGCATCTAGTAATATATCTGCATCTCTCTCTCTATATATATAATATACACATACACACACACACACATATACTGTATATATATATATATGTAATTGGTAGGCAAACAAAATCCGAGCAATACTAATATTTTTGTTTTCTAGTCAACTTATGAATATATATATATATATATATATATATTCATTTGCATTTCTATATGCATTTCTCTCATGGAAATATAAAGACTATTTTACTTATAAATCTGAAAAAGGACGTAACATCTCAGCGCAATGCAATGCCTACCTGCAACAAAACTTCTATCTATCACAGTCTTCAGCGGGTGTGCCCAGGAGGGCCACCAGATGACTGTGTTCTGGGAGCACATGGCTTGTGTTGTGTTTGTCTGTTGCCATGTGCTCTCTCCTGTCTATTGTCTGGCCCCTCCCATCTTGTTACCTCGTTATTGTTTTAGTTGCTCCACCTGTGTCTCCCTCGTTAGCCTCCTCGTTTGGTTCCTATTTATTCTCCTTGTGTCTATCATCCTGTGCTGATCCGTCATTTCTCATTGTGTGTGTTTCGTGTCTGCATGTGGTGCCGCTTTGAGCCTGCTTGTCTGTTTTTCCCCTTCAGGGTGGTTTGAGGTTTTTTTTGTTTCATTTTTATTATTCCAAATAAATAACCATTTCTCCTGCAATTGAGTCCTCGCTTCATCTCCCCGCACGCACCGTGACAGAACGGATCAGCCTACATGGGGACTCAGCGGAGAATGGGCTCACCCCAACTACCGGTCTCTACTCTCTCCTGCCCCCTGTACCAGCGCATGCTCCAGCTGGAGACCCTGAGCTCCCTCCGGCAACGAGGGACCGAGCTGAGGGAGTTTGCCGTGGAGTTTAAGAAGGCTGCAGAGGGGCTGGGCTACAATGACTCTGCGCTAAAGGACTGATTAAATTATGCCCTTGATGAGCCCATTAGCCCCTGGAGCATGCTAGGGTGCAAGCATGTATCCTTCGAGAGGTTTGTGGATTTCGTGACACATTCTTCAGCTAAGGGGCTGGAGGAGGAGGAGGAGGAAGAAGGCTTCTTCCGTCCTTCAAGGCCGGGAGGCCTTCATAGAGCCTGGTGCCCTGCCGGTGCCACCCAAGCTCCTTGCCCTGCCAGCACCTCCCAAGTTCCTCGCCCTGCCCAAGCTCAAGCTTCATGCCCTGCCGGCTCCACCCAAGCTCAAGCTTCATGCCCTGTCGGCTCCACTTAAGTTCCGCTCTCTGTCAGCTGTATCCCAGCTGCTTGCCCTGCCGGCTCCCTTCTTGAGGCAGGCTCTGCTCTTGCTGCCGGCCGGGCGGCCGGCCCCGGGAGGAGGAAGAAGGCTTCTTCCATCCTTCAAGGCCGGGAGGCCTTCATAGAGCCTGGTGCCCTGCCGGCGCCACCCAAGCTCCTTGCCCTGCCGGCACCTCCCAAGTTCCTCGCCTTGCCCAAGCTCAAGCTTCATGCCCTGCCGGCTCCATTATTCCAAATAAATAACCATTTCTCCTGCAATTGAGTCCTCGCTTCATCTCCCCGCACGCACCGTGACACTATCAGCATCGAAGGATTCAACGTTTAATCTGAAAAAGCATCTTGAGGGAAGTTCTTAATCTTTGAAAAATTTTATCAAGTAACTCGTTTTTTTTATTTTCTCATATTTTGAGTGTTAAATTGGTTATCATTACGTTTAATATTTCTAAGAATTTAATTGAAAAATGACACCGAATTCTCCTAGAATTCACACTTTGCATTCAGTTTACAAATCCATACGAATCATGCATGAAATACGTTTATAAAGACAAACGATAGCTTTATGTGCTTTACAGATGAACTTGAAGTCTTTATCCATTCGAAATGTTCAAGAATCGATTATCTTTGGCGCAGTAATGCGAGTTCATGATCCGATTCGTGAACAGATGATTCTTTTGATTCAATCTTTTAAATGAATCATTTATTTTGTTTAACGAAAACCAGTGTGAATGGTTCACATTAAACTGGATAGATCTGGGGGGTGTTTCCCAAGAGCATCGTTAGCGAACTGTGGTTGTTAAATTACATTGAACTATAACGACATTACTTGCGACCGTAGTTGCTTTGGGACACGAGCCCTGTCAATTTTGACTCAGCGATTCTTTTGTGCCGATCGCTTCTCCATAGATAGGATTAGTGAAGTAATCACTTAAAGTTAGGTCCATTCATTAAACAAATCTATTGTATAACTTGGAGAACTGTGCCAGTTGTGTTGGCTGCTTTTATGATATGTTTGGTATATTTGGATTTGTTTTGAAGCTTGGAATGCAGCATGAAAAAACATGGAATCCCATTCATTCTATTCAAATTGAATTTATATTAATCGGTAGATTTAAATGACACAGCATTTTTTTGTTGTTCATAGAAATGCTGTGGAAAACTGATGTTGTTAAAAATAAAATGCAAGGAAAACGCAAATCTTATGACTGGTAGATGTCACATTTATTTAGAGTTGGAAAACGTAAAAACAAGACATGTGCTTTACAGATGAACTTGAAGTCTTTATCCATTCGAAATGTTCAAGAATCGATTATCTTTGGCGCAGTAATGCGAGTTCATGATCCGATTCGTGAACAGATGATTCTTTTGATTCAATCTTTTAAATGAATCATTTATTTTGTTTAACGAAAACCAGTGTGAATGGTTCACATTAAACTGGATAGATCTGGGGGGTGTTTCCCAAGAGCATCGTTAGCGAACTGTGGTTGTTAAATTACATTGAACTATAACGACATTACTTGCGACCGTAGTTGCTTTGGGACACGAGCCCTGTCAATTTTGACTCAGCGATTCTTTTGTGCCGATCGCTTCTCCATAGATAGGATTAGTGAAGTAATCACTTAAAGTTAGGTCCATTCATTAAACAAATCTATTGTATAACTTGGAGAACTGTGCCAGTTGTTTTGGCTGCTTTTATGATATGTTTGGTATATTTGGATTTGTTTTGAAGCTTGGAATGCAGCATGAAACAGCATGGAATCCCATTCATTCTATTCAAATTGAATTTATATTAATCGGTAGATTTAAATGACACAGCATTTTTTTGTTGTTCATAGAAATGCTGTGGAAAACTGATGTTGTTAAAAATAAAATGCAAGGAAAACGCAAATCTTATGACTGGTAGATGTCACATTTATTTAGAGTTGGAAAACGTAAAAACAAGACATTAATATGTTCCTTTGTGTATAGTTTAAGTATTTCAAAGTATTCTAAAGTATTTAGATTAGGTTACTAAACCTGCATAATCTAACATAATATATTACTGATTACTTTTAAAAGTATCCTTTCCAGCTCTGGCTATTTCAGAGAACTGGTTTATCATTGGTTTATCTACATTATCTTCATTATTGAAAGTCAAGATTCACCTGCACAATTCATGGCAAACTTACAAAAAGTTTAATAGAAATGTGTAGAAAAAATGAAAATTTATGCACACTCAGGACATCCAAGATGTAGATGAGTTTGTTTCTTCATGGGAACGGATTTGGAGAAATGTAGCATTACATCACTGAATCACCAATGGATCCTCTGCAGTGAATGGGTGCCATCAGAATGAGAGTCCAGACAGCTGATAAAAATTCTTGTGAAGTGAAAAGCTGCATGTTTGTAAGAAACAAATCTGTCATTAAGGATTTTTTTTTTTACATATTTATTTCCTGATTGAAGACAAATTTTTGACCAGAAAAAGCAATATTATGAATAGAAGTGTTGTATTGTAGATGAATGCAACGGTTTGAAGTAAAAAAAAAAACAGCTTTGAAGCAACTGTTTGGACTCTCATTCTGACGGCACCCATCATTATCTTCATTATTGAAAGTCAAGATTCACCTGCACAATTCATGGCAAACTTACAAAAAGTTTAATAGAAATGTGTAGAAAAAATGAAAATTTATGCACACTCAGGACATCCAAGATGTAGATGAGTTTGTTTCTTCATGGGAACGGATTTGGAGAAATGTAGCATTACATCACTGAATCACCAATGGATCCTCTGCAGTGAATGGGTGCCATCAGAATGAGAGTCCAGACAGCTGATAAAAATTCTTGTGAAGTGAAAAGCTGCATGTTTGTAAGAAACAAATCTGTCATTAAGGATTTTTTTTTTTACATATTTATTTCCCGATTGAAGACAAATTTTTGACCAGAAAAAGCAATATTATGAATAGAAGTGTTGTATTGTAGATGAATGCAACGGTTTGAAGTAAAAAAAAAACAGCTTTGAAGCAACTGTTTGGACTCTCATTCTGACGGCACCCATTCACTGCAGAGGATCCATTGGTGAGCAAGTAATGCAATGCTACATTTCTACAAATCTGATGAAGAAACAAACTAATTTACATCTTGGATGGCCTGAGGATGAGCACATTACAGCAAATTTTGAGTGAACTGTTCCTTTAATGTTAAGACATTAAAAATAACTCTTTTTTTCTGTATGATTTGACATTCCCAGTATTTCAACTTTGCCAGAATGTTTGACAGAGAAACAACATTGAAAAGCTCTTGTGACTACACATTTGTCAGACACAGAGCATAATAAAATACTGTCAGCCACACTTGCACTTATCTGGCTATGTTGTTATATTTTGTTGTTTTCCCTCTTGTATTGATTTTTGTCTCTTCACACTGAATGCTTCAGGCCAGTGAATTGGACCTCTGTTTCACTGAAGAAATGTCATCAGGGACATGAGACCGTGAAGACAGGAACAGCTAATTCAAAGCACACACATTTCTTTAGCTTTCTCAATGGGCACAGATAATAGAGATTTATATCAAATTAAATTTTTACTTATGATCACTATAGACTGTTCCTTCCCCCTATTGCTAAAAAAAGGAATAGCTCACTGTATTTGAATGGCTGTTGTGCACCATTTTGCAATATTAGATTTTAATTAACACATCATTTAGCCCTTTGATTAAGTTATTATCCTCCTGGGAGGTTCTCACATTATAGATATTTTCAGGTCATTCCTTTTATTGTTAAGGGCATTTGGTCAAAAAAAAGAGCCTTTTGTAGTTTTCTCTGCCACAACATATTTTTATCATGCACTCTGTCTTTCTGTCTTTTCTAAAAACTGGAATGATTACAGTGTCCACAAACCCAGACACCTGCATTTATCACAAAGAAGAGACTTATACCTGCCAATGGGTTTTTATTATACTATAAGTATAAGTGTAATAAGTGATATTAGTGGTGCTGTTTCAATCTCTCTTTGAGTGCCTCTAATCTTCATTCTTAATTCTAGACCTAGTTTCTGAATCTGTGTGTGTGTGTGTGTGTGTGTGTGTGTGTGTGTGTGTGTGAATCTTACAAAATCAACCAAGAACATTTCTGGTCAAGAAAAGAAAGAAATTATCTTTTTATTGTTATTATTATTATTATTAATGATGATTATGATGATGTATTATTGTTATCATTATTATTTAAGATCAAAATGATTTTTTAATTATCATAATACAAAAAAGGGTACTATTCTAAGATTTTTAAATAAATTATTTATAGTGTATTTTATCATTTAAATTTAGTTGTTATATATTTATATATAATAGTACTGTTGTTGAACTGCTTTTAATTGTATCTTTTAATTTAATGTTGACTTAAAATTATAATAATGAAATAATGAAAATCAGAATAAAGATAATTTGAGGGTAAAGTTTTGGGGTAAAATGTGCATGACTGTCCTAAAAAAAAATTGGAGGGAAAAATGACATGAAAATGCTTTCATGAAATGTACCCATATACTGTATGCTCGCTTTACACAAAAATCATATTTTCACAATCCAAGTGAAACATAACATATCTTCGAACTGGTCGTTCCTCAATAATGTTATGAGTGTGTGTGTGTTTGTTTGGCTGTGGAAAATAGCCTGTCTCCCCTCATTACAGCGAGCATAAGCAGAAGTGACATGGTAATTGCACAACGTCATTAAAAGAATTGTAGCTTTTCTGATGGTTTGGAAGTGTGCTGCTGAAGAAACTACTGTTGATGTGAGTGTGTCTCTCATTTCCTGCTGCGTGTTGTGTTGGGATTGGGCTGGTGAATCTATTTAGCGACGGTGACCTTGCTTGAAATTTAGACAAATAAATATCAATGCAGATTTCCCTCGATCTTCTATAGTTCCATTCCTTGGTCATCAATACAGTTTTTCTCGTCGTCTATGCAGGAATACACGATTCCACGGGGGCCTTTTTGGTTCATATTTTCCTGTGTTCCTAAAAAAA